GAGCTCGGATCCTGAATGTGTGTTTTTGAGAGGATACGCAAATCGATCTCTAGACCTTTGAGCGTAAGGGCCAAACCTGCTTGTTTTCCTATACGCTTTAAGGTTCTTACATTGATCAAAGCCAGTTTTAAAGCAGAGTAAGGTCAGAGGAATGAAATGGTCGGCTGCGAGGGACATAGTACTGCTGAAACAGATATCGAGGAGGATAACGGCGAGCTACAACTTGAACCCACGCCAGTGGAACCATTCGAAATAGAAGATTCGGCGGAAAAAAGTGGGAGTTTTGTGTGGGTAATGAGTGGAAGTGCTGTGTGCCGTATTTTTAGAAAGGCAGCTTTGCGCAAATGTAAAAGTCTGAAGTATATGTGAACTTGAAGGTCCATGGTCAGATTGTGGGTGTGCTACTACTCGGTTGCCCAGGCCGACGTAGAGGGTTTTCTTGAGGGACCCTACCCGGAGCCCTGGGTTAAAAAAACTGACGCACAAAGCAGCGGAGTAGAGTAGGCTGTCTACGATCCTCTGGGAACAGGTGACTAGCGGACCAATTGATATGCCTTTCGGATATGGCCAACTATACGGGGTACCCAGATTGCCGGTAAACGTAGGTGGTTTGGAATCACGGTTTTTTACCAACTCTTCCGGGCAGACTAGCAATGACCAGTCAACCCGGTGGAAAGCGCCAGGCATTCGCCTTTACTCTCACACTTTGGTGTTAGCACCGCCACGAGAAGGCAGTGGATATGACTTCCTCAGCTTCGATAGAATTGACTGATTTTGTTTGACACGGATCACGGATCATAGGTTGTATGTCTCGGAATCAACTATTTCGAAATCACTTTGCTTTCGATCAAAAACCGTTTGAAAACGGCCAATTTCTGGTTGAGTGGTAACTGACGTTCCGTCCCAATGGCGCGTGATCCGATGTCCGATAGATCTACCTGTGCTATGGAATTCGCCAACGAGAAATAGGTTTTTATGAATCCTCATGTTTTTCAATTGGTAACGTGACTTTTCAGAGCCACTATGAATAGATACATAGCTAATCTTTTATTGGATAGTCAATTGCATCATCAATTTTCCAGGCGTTGAAAAGTGTTCCAAGTTTCCTTCCGCCTCCCCCACGACTCAATCCCATGAGATTACTTTAAAAATAGCAAAACATTCAAAAGACTCGTTAAGACTTCTACTGTTGAATACGAAAAAACATGCGCACACGTGAAACAATACGCGCGTAACTTATTCTCTATACTGTCAAACTAACCAAAGTGAAACTCTTGGTCCACTTTCGCGACCATGTCCTATTTGTGAATAACTGTAAAGCTGGTCATGAAGCCCACAATGAGGAGAAACTGCTGCTCAATTAAGAAAACCCGTTAACTCAAGCTCCTTGGCTTAGCGTGGTGAATCCCATAGGGTGCTGTATAGTATATGTTTAATATGGAATCAAATGATAGCTTAGCGGCTTACCTTCAAAGATGATCTCTTTTTCGCCATCTGTGTTACTCCTTTGCTCCAAATTGGTTTCCTTTTCCGGTTACTAACAGACTACTGCTACTGCTTTTTTGTCCTGTCGAACAGCGGCCACAGTGCCGAGATTTGGGTTGATTGAAGACAGGTCACAGGAGTGAGAGTATCTGATTATGTACCGCTTACCCAGCTGGTGACTTGTGCCAACTGGCACAACTGGGATTGGGAGTTTGGGATAAAAGAGTATATCAGTTGACAAAAATGTTCGTAGCTCGGGCAATAAATGTAGTTTGTATTGGTTTGTTTTGTTGGTTAACTGTCCAGCTTATGAACTTCTCTTCGTCAGGCGAACTATCGCCATCAGCGCATCGTCGATTGAATTGTTCTGCTCTTGTATCTGTTTTCGTATAGACTTTTGCTTGAACAGATGTCCGCATTTCAGTCAAAAATTACGCCTCTCATCAAAAGATGGAAGTAATATGAGTGAAACATCTAACCTCCAAGGTTGTTGAGAAATTCAGAAGAAACGCGTTGTCGGTTTACAAGGATTCTGGCGAGACAGGGAACAGGGAATTTCTGTAGGAACCAATACGAGAGGGTAATAATCAATATGTAGAACGGGTAGATGCATGAGAGTAGCATTTGGATAGATAGCCATGTAAAGAACGAGTGGATGTGAATGTATGATGCTGCCATAGGAGTGATCCGATTGACAACCGCGTAGCCTTATAACCGAAATCACTGCGCGGTGTATGTAAATGTTTCATGACATTTTCAAACTTGAAAGTTTGTTGCTTCTCTGGACAAAGCACAGGAAGTTAGCAACTGAGCCAGAGAGATATGCTAAGGACAAGAATTTTAGACCATGCCCGCTAATGATTCGGCTTACTTTGCATATCGCACAGTTTATTTGTACGTTTGACATGAGTGCTATCGACCACGTCATGAATGTATCGGCATGGCTTCCGATTATGGTGCCTTCTCAGGCAGTGTCATGCAACACAGTGTTCGAAGTCGTCACAGACGTGATTCGCATTCACACTCTGTTTCTGTCCTCTCGCTTTTTCCAAAATTTTCTGTTAATCTGCATGAGTGCATACCACATGGACGCAACTGTTCTCGCCTGATTTGCTTGCTCCATCCCATCCCCCTACCGAACCCCTGGGCTTCAGACCTGCTAGCACTCTGTTTTCTCTTATCACACACATACTACTGGACCCTTGTCTTCATGCAGTAATTCGATTTCCGGGTATTATGCAACAATTTTGGGTTCATTTCAGTTCTACTTGGTTTCTACTAGGCTTTTGGTGTCATATCCTTTTTGCATTGCACCAGTAATGGGCAAATCGCTCGTTCTTCTTTGATTCCGTGACCGTCAACAAGGAATTGGCTTAGGGTAAAACGAGTAGTCAATTTTATTTCTGCAACTCAAAGCCAAATTTGAACAGGAAGACCGTTGTTCGGTTACACTTTATCACCGGTCTTCTGTGCTGCATTAACTACGCCAAATAGTGAGACGGGGAATGAATCACATAAGGAAACACCAAGATAAACGTAATATCAGGTAGGGTAGCTGTAGAGAGGCTTACTATCAAAGTTTTAATGAAAATAACAGGATTCGATCCCAAAATCACGTGTGTGCTCGCGCGCGCCAATAACACTGATTTGAGCGCTTGACCCAAAACTTCACGTTTGATATCTTGCTGGTTCTATTTTCGGTTTGTCAGAAACTGCGCAGATTCACTGATTGCTTACAAAATATGCAATGGTCATATGTTGGATTAGTGCTCCACCTGAAGCTTGATTAACGTCTGATCTGAGTAATAGTCAAATCAACCAACAGTCGGTTGAAACATGGGTACACTGTACAACATCCTTTCTGACGTGCTGGGCGTGATAGCCCAATACCATGTGGTGACTACTGAGACCTTGTGTGGTTTGTCACTCCAAGTCCCGGGGAAAACAGTAGATCTTAGTGATTCCGGAGTTTACCCCCGTGTACCTTTCACCGCACAGTAATGTGTAGTAAAATTTACCCAGAAATCTCTTTACTAGAGACACATTTAATGCGTTTACTGGTATTCAGGTTTTAAAAATATTTAATTATCAGAGTACGATTTCTTGGAGTTGAAGAATCGCATGTGTGTTCACCTGATCAGGCGTCACATTACTTACCTCACCACGGACCTTGAAAAATTGCGTTTTCTTAATTATGTTTTGACCCGAGAGCGGATACAATTGTCCGCTTGACATTCTAAACCTTTATTGCGTTTGGAGTCCTTCGAGGGTCTTCGCCAGTAGTCTACAATATTGTACTGAAATGTTGCTCCTTGGGATCAACGTTGTGCTGTCCCAACAAAACATTCGGACTGTTGCACACACGTAAGTCGTTCACATGCCCGTCGAGCTGAATCTCACTAATTTACAGTAACCAGTACCAGAGTGAAGCTGAAGAAGACAATGTGTTCACTATTTCCGAACAACTTACCAGCAGTGTTTTAGAATACTTTGCCTCCAACGCCTGTTTGATTTATCAACTCCCTCTCTCTCTCTCTATTCCATTCGTACCCCACGCACGGTACGGGGTGGATTTATTTGCAGCATATCGCCGAGCCTAACCAGGTTTGCATCCGATGTGAAATGACGCGCTCGTGTGCATGTGTGTATGTCTTGTTTGCACTTAGTTCCACAAAATCCATTCTTCATCCGGTCTAGCTGTGTTCACATATCCCTCCTGCCATCCCGTTTCGACTTCATTGGTTTCACAATAAAGGCAGTCCCTCATTCATACTAGTCGTGTGCCGTGTGTCCATCTCATTTGACCCTGTTATTATCGTTTCGTTCATTCCCCACCTGTTGAACCGTTACCGCCCCCCCTCGTTTTTTGTGTGAAACTACAACAACCAGAATGTGTGTGTTTGTGCGTTTTTCCCTCGTTGGCTTTTCATCCTCTGGCTTGCACCCCGACACGTGCCGATCCGAATAGCGTTGGCTTTCGCATTCCTCTATATATCCCGTATGCTATCCTGCATTGATCACAGTCATCATTTTGTGTTCAGTATTCAGTTGTAAAACCGTATCGGGGATACCGTTTTCACCGGTGTGTGCGTGCTCGATGTTCTCCAATTTTCCGTTACGTATAGTATACATCTTAATTTGGCACATGGCTTTGAGTCGTCTGGTCTGTGTGACTCACTCATCCGAAGGCAATGATGTATGCAGTTTTTTGGTGCACACACACACACACACGAGAATGGGTTACGTGGTTTACCATTCAGTGTTGTTTTTGTGCTCATGCGCTCCGCATGCATGATCATGATCATCACACACCGGTTCGTTTGTTGTGTTTCATCCGAACAACCTGACCGATTCGCATCACACGTTCACTCCAGTTAAATTAACTGTCTTTGTTTTTCTCCTTCTTCTTGTTCTTCTGTTTCTATTCCGGCAACCCGGATTACGTGCCTCGGACGATGCTCGGTATGTGTAATCTCTAGTTTACTGGTGACCTGTCGGTCAACCGCTTTCAAGTCATGTTCCTATTCATCGTGGCTTTGATGTTCGGGATCTGTCAGACTGCACTCGGTGGTTATCACGTGTATCTGGCAGCACGAAATCAGACTACACTGGGTACGTTTCCCGTATTTAATGTTTTCTGTCCACCCCTTTTTTATTCGTACAATCTGTTGATTGTACGCAACCGCAATTGTCTCGTGCCCTTCGTTTTACTTCGGTATTACTCGTATGGTTGCCCCCCTCTAGTGGTGTTTAAATATCAATATAAATCTATTATATTTTACGCCTCTTTGAGGACAGATTGTGTTCCTGGCAAATCATGGTACAATAATCTTTATAAAAATGAAAAACATTCCATAATTGGCTCGTGGGCTAAATACCGCCAGGTTGCCCAGACAGATGAGTTTTCTTCAGGAATTCGCAACCGGAGCCTTCGGCTAGCCGCAAGGCAGCGGGGCGGTGAGCCAATCCCAATCCATTGGGAGCCGGTGTCCAGTTCATCGGATCATTCGCCCTTCGGACGGGGTCAAACGTCCAAGGTGCCCAAGTGAGCCGGTGACCATTGCCTCAACCGGGATGGGTGTGGTTGTATGATTCTAACACCTCTTGGTTGGTTTGGAATCAGGGTTTTTGGCCAACTCCCCTAAGTGAACTATCAGTGGTCCACCAAACCAGTTATAGCCCCAGATTTCGGCTTTTCGTCCTCTCACTTTGGTGTGGAAAATACCGCCGTCACGAGAAGGCAGTGGATAGGGCTTCCTCAGCAGAGGCTATTCGAGACGCTTGGTCGTATGGGAGCATTTCGCGCGAGGTGCAAGGGAAAGGTGACCAGCCGCAAACCTAGACACTCACCCCCGACTATCCTGAGGCTTTTGGAGGCGCGTGAATATCAATAGTCCTTCCGTCTATGTTTCTGCATCGTATAGTAGTACCGGTAGGATTGCTCGATCTTCCACGGGCAACCGGATATCTTGACTAAACAAAGGGTGTCCTGAGTCAACAACCGCCAATCGAGCTCCTTTTGCATACGTGCTAGCATTACGTCCTAAATCCAGGACAGATAAAGCTGTCTGAGATGATCACAGTCTTTCCGTCACTTTGAAGGTGCCTATTGCATGTTCTCGAAGTAGTGAGAATAAAATGGTGCAGTTCAGCGGAATCTTCACCCAGCTCTGTGATGTCCGTATTACCGCTTACCACTAGAAATCAACTTGTCCTCACGGGAATGCTGCGGATTTTAAAATCGTTTCAACTGCACAATGAAAGGGAAAAAGGGTGAAGACGGCGTCCCTGAATCCCACTGCTATTCTTGGTGATGTCAGACGCAAAGAACCCGCAAACTCAAACGTGGCATCGGCCATCTCTGTGACAGGTTTTGAATGCCGGTAATCTATTTCGGTTACCTTTAACTTAGTTTTCTGGAGTAGTACTAACATGTAAGTTTTAGAAATCAGAAATCATACGATCTAAGTCAGGTCCACCAAGGATAATGTACAGCACGCTTTGAACGCCCGGAGTTATTTCCGAACCAGCCGATAGAGGAAGCTCAGATTTTATTGAACCTATGATCTATCGGTAGGCGGTCTATATAAGGTCTATTTTCGAGTATTTTATACCTCATCTGGTCCTCTTTCGACATGCTGCTCGTATCGTCTGTGCACAATTTTTATTCTCTCGCTTCGTTCTTCCTTGTTTAATCATGGACAAAATGCGCATGTACATTCACAGAAACGTTCGCTGCTCCGAAATTCCGAAACGGCTCAGTCGACAGTCGAGCGTTCGATTTGGGACGGAAGGCCAATCTGCAAGAGATGTTCGGCACGAACTGTTGCCTAGCCATATTCCCTGTACGAACAACGTAAGTGCCTAAGGCATGTTTCCCCTCCCCCTCCCACCCGTCCTCGTGCATAGCTTTTGTTATTTTTTTAAGTTTGACATCTTACCCCGTCGCAATACAGCACACGATTTGAGTCTGCTCATCTCCGTGTCGACAACTGCAGCAGTAGTGACGGTGGTGCAAGTAGTAGCGGAAGATGAAAAATCTGAAAGCTCTGGTGACCCAATATGGAGGCGCTTGCCGTCGAAATGGTTGTTGCTCATCTTGGAGTAGGTCAAAGGAACTGAAAATTCACGTCCAAAGGCGACATCGTTAGTGTACTTGTGGCCCCCCTTAAAAGATGTTAGATTTGAAAGGTGCTCTACGTAGATTGCAGAAATGGAGAAAGCATTGTAATAAATAGACGAAAATTAATGAGAAGATTGTGTGCCATTGAAATGAGTACAGTCGTCACAATTAAGCATACAGGATTTTTCTAATATGCGAATCACCACTGTATTTAGATAAAAGGGGTTACGTAAGGCTGCTCTATAGAGAGCATCTAATAAATTTTTCTTGTGTTGTCTGGGAGCACCAGTTTCATCGGTTGATGCTCATGATCAGGCGCGAAAGCTACCGAGTGAACGAAATGGATGCCAAGCGTCCAAGGACGAGCGTGATGTGTTGTAAACAAACTGGTCCACATCCTCGTTTCTAGTTTCATCAATTATCTGAAAGGTTTCCAAATTTCTACTGATACCGAAGTGTTTGCATGGGGTCTATATTTGAGGCGTTTCGTCTTCGGAAGCGGTATTATCCTGGGCAAACCCTAAAAATCTGGAATTTTGCCGACTGTTAAGCACCTGTTGAATAAGTCTGTGAAGTATTAAATAAATGGACACATTCTTTCAGTAATTCTGCTCAGCTGCCGTCCAGCCCACTAAGTTTGTTCGTTTTTAATGTTCTCTAATTGGTCATAAACGTCATCGTGTTCAAAATGCTTAGGCACGTTTGAGCATTGTCAGACTGACAGTAGCACGTGGCCACAATAAACTGAGTTCAGCACGGACCTACCACACATCTGCTTTGTGCAGCATGTTCTTGAGTAGGTCTCTTGTTTGATCACTAACTGGGGGGGGGGGGGGGGGNGCATTACACGGGAGCTATCGGCGTGATGTATTCCAAACTGGACCGTACTTCGCCATCCTCAGAACAATATAATGAACGATACAATTTCGCGTTTGAACGTTACACTCCGATTGTTGACCTTTCCAACAGAATTCCTTCCCTTGTTAATTCGTAGCTCACTCTAAACCCCTGAATCTGGTCTTAGCGTTCAAAGTTTTCCCTTATTGGTTCCAAGATTATCATGGCAATTCTTTATGTTGAATTAAGAATTTTTCTGTTTGAGAACAAGAGCAGCCAATAACGGCGCAAATCAATATTTGCTGTCAAAAAAACTTATTCATGCAATAGCACGTGCACCACTCACTGGGTGAAACTATTGTTGATGGAGAATTGCAAAAAATCGATCCTGTTTTAGAGGAGAAAACATTACCCTCAAAATCTGCATGTATCCTTCTTCATGCTGGGTTCCGCATCCCCTCACATTGCGTTTCCTAATCATCGTCTTTCACGTGATCGATTCTTTTTATTTCTCTCGTATTTCGGTTCTCTTTCTAGCCTCGGGGATGGTGTACACTGGCGTTATCGATCTCCGACCTACGATTTGGCTCTAATCGAAGATGGTGGGCACACCTCACCCACGCCACTGACCAATTCGTTTTAACCTCGCCACCCGTGGCACACCACAGTCAATTCAGCCTTTCAAACCAATTTGCTGTTCATGTGAATGTTCCCCGGGGGAACGTTCTGATCCGACACAAGGTTGATACACATCTGTTTCTATCCCCCCCTCACCTTGTTCGTTCTCTTTCCACCTATCCGCTCACCCACCCATAGTTTCTATTCTCTGTGATCTTGGTTCCAGGTTGAAAACCAACCGATTTCATTCATGCATCCATCCGGACTCGGAACGTTCACGGGTTGGCATTAGATTGAACAGCTTTTGGTCAGTTGAGAAGCGAGACTCAATTTGGATCAGGTGTTGTAACTGTTTTCTGTTTTTTTAGCTTCTAAGGACTTTACCATGACTTACATGTCCCTCGCTTATTGTGTACCCATTTGTCCTCTGCTCCACTCCTACTCCTCATTTACCCCACGTAAATCATCATCCGGTCAGCGGATCCTCACTGTTGCGCTTGAAGCCGATTCGATCTGATGCTAATGCTGTTGACTTGGGCCACACCAATCGGCTCTTTTTGGGGGATAAAACATGAAAAGCTTTCCCCGTTTATTTTTGAAGTCAACCAGACGACTGACATGTGTATTCTCTTCCTTATTTACTCTCAATTCACTCAGTTCTCTGTCTCTCCTTTCTATGGCTCTGTCCTATTTTTTGAGGAATTAACTTTCCCNCGGAGAAACAAATTCAGCCGATTTTTTCTCTCTCCTTTATCGGTCCGGTTCAATGAGGGTGGTTTTGTTTTATCAAGTTTTTTTTAGGAGTCTGAGAGGGAGCATAGTTATGGTAGTAGTAGTAGTTTTTGTTTGGTACCAAGAGAAACTTCTTCAATAATAGTCCAAAGGTGAGAAAACGGCACCTTTGTCACAAATGGGGCTGTTTCGTACAATAACTGCAAGGAAATTTCTGCGCGCTGCAACTACTGGGATTTCGATGCACGTCGTATGAGTTGTTCTCTTCCACTGGGGCATTCTGATCGCGTGTCAAATCCCGGCTTTGTATCTGGGTACTGTCGTTCGTTTCCAGTCACTGCCGCTACCTGGACACCAATGGAGCGTTCCCATTTCAGCTTACACGACTAGACATAAAAAGGTTGATGGGCTACAAGTTTTCTAGGGTTCGCAGCTCAGTAAGTCAATGTCTGGAACGTAAATTTCCGCTCGGTCCATATACGAGTTCAGTGCTTTGTATTATTTCTGTAATTCACCAAGGAAAGAGATAGTAGAATAAACTTTTTGTACTGTTGTCACTGCTACCCCGGTCGCCAACTTTCGTGAAGTAAAACAAGCAGACCAAATAATAAAACGCTCACGTAGGCGGAACAACACGCTTGAGCGTGCAGGGAAACCAACGATGTGAGTTGTATTGACGCGTCTATGAGGAAGCGCTACTCACCGCCTTTTCATGATGGTGTTTTCTCACCACAGTGAAAGGACGAAAAGCCAATACCCAAGGTTATAACCCGGTCGGTGAACCATCGACAGTTCTCCTGGGGAAGTTGGCTAAAAACCATGATTCCCTGCTAACCAAGAAGAGATGCACGACCCATACCTTCTTGGTTGTGACAGTGGTCACCGGCTCTTTCGGGAGTCCAGGTGTATTGGGCACCCAAAGGGTGTATGATCCGATGAACTGGACACCGGCCCCCAACGGATGGCGGTTTCTAAACACTGCCTAGCGCGTCAGGCTTTGGCCTGCCGAAAGCTCCGGTTGTGAACTTACTAAGGAAATTCACCTGCTTTGGCCTGGGCAACCTAGCAGTATCGCGCCCACGAATAAATCATGTATCCTTTTTTCTTGGTTATAAAGATTTTCGTACCGTGATTCGTTTGGCCCGCATTCTGGCTTAAGACGTGTGAGAATATGTCTATGTGTGGATGCATTCACAAGGAGTTTTGGCGGAGGCCATCATCCAATGGTTGCCACTGCAACTGCCGAATATCTGTCTAACTTGGAATTTCTCTTCTGTAGGAAAACTCTGCTGATCAGCATCAGATTCAGTTTTTACAACCATTAACTATGCATCTTCGTGCAGCATCCTTCCTACGTTTGCTATCAGTGCGCATTCGATCATAATACAGAGCGCGCCACCTAAGCCTGGAGTCTATGGCTAGAGCGTGATCATAAGATGCTGGAGCGTCCACAAGGGAATGCCACCAAGGTGGTCAGGGGATTGCATTCCCTCATTTTTTGCGAGAGATCACAATCATTGGGATAGTGCCAACGAATTCCAAGTGACTTGATTTTGGTAATATCAAATATTGCAGAACCCAAACTATCCATGTCGTCCGTTGCTCACGTTTTCGCAGTGGTATTTTTTATTATTTCTTATCAAGTCCGAATGCTTGAAAGAGCGCCCCATTGTATTTCACTGTGCTACGATGATGAGGATGATCCGAACTAGAATTGTTTGATTTTTTCCCGTGGTTTTTATATTTGAGTAAAACCGAGTGACCGAGGACAACCCCCCAGTTTGAGAATTGTTCGACAATTCTTTGAGTCAAGCATCATTGCTGTTCCCATGTGTATGTCATTGGAGAGGAAGAGCTTGGCTAGATAACATGTGCAGCATCANNNCAGTAGAGTGCGAATAGAATTCCAGATCTTCACTGCATTGCACAGCACATTGGGGACTGTCGTCCATGTTCCACTTGAAGTGGAGTTTTAAATTCGAGCGGATACAATTAAAAATCCGATTCTAGGAGAAAGGAATAAGTACGTTGATTCGCATAGATTTGGCTAGCTCATTGTGAGTTCCGTTTTGTGCTAAGGTTTTCGATACAGTTACCGGTTAAAAGGATTGTCATTGATTCTTTTACTCTCACTACTGTTCGGCCTTAGCTAGTTGTGTGAATTGAAAATTACTCGACGATTTTGTGAATCCCCTGCGGAACGA